AAATCAGATTGTCAAATGGATTGTCAGCAGCTGGCTAGATGATAAGGAGGGGAGCAGCAAATGAAAAATGAAATAAGTGATCAGACAGAATTCAGGGCATTAAAGGGGAAGGGAATATGTAGGGTAGAGAAAAGGAGAGAACATACAGTAGGTGAAGGAAAATAGGTAAGGAAGGAAATAGGATAATTATACATTGCACACAATTTTCCATGCCTTGGGCTTGATAGAGAACAGAAAAACAAGAGGTTTTCAGGTGAATGTGCCTGAAATTTGCTCTCTGCTCCCTACCAGTAGGATTACATTATGGAAAAAATCCCCCTCTTTGCCATAAATGTGGGTGAACAGGTACCCAAATCACGAGAATGATCAACATACCCGGTTCTAAGCTTTCTTTGGGGCAATGAGGTTTCTAAAAGCCACAACCCCCCCCCCCCCAAGCAGAGGGCCAAGAATGTGACTGCTCCTGACAGAATTCCATCCCCACACCCACCCCCCACACCCCGCCATCCCTGCTCACTGTTTCTTTCAGATATTACCAGCTACTATCACCTATGGGTCTGCAACAGAACTGGATATTGTATAGGCATTACCAATATAAATTTATGTCTACTACATGGAGGTTTGAGTCATTGGAAAACAACTGATCTTGGAAACAGATAAAATCACCTAATATCTAATGAAGTGGGTGGCCCTAACAAATTTAATAAATTGAAAGATCTTGAGATGACTCAAGAAGGAAAGCAATATTTGAAACATGTCAACATTTTAAAAATAGCAGTTAAAAGCTGGAAAAAACCGCAACTGGATTAGAAAACCAGAAGGCCCTGCATTTTATTTGTTTTTACAGAGGACAGCTAAATAGTTACTGGCATGTCATAGAACTTACAGTATTTAACCTAAAAATATTTATGTCTTCCTTGTTCCATATTCTCAGGATCAGAAGCTGCTGCAGGTTTTCTTCTGCTGTTTGTCTGCTTCCTAAATGTGGCATCTTTTGCTGATAGATGCTGCCAAATAATTTATTTAAAACCATGAGCTGGGAGAAAAGCAATGAGGGCTCCCAGCAAGACAAGTCAAGATGAGAGTGTTGATGATCCATGGCTTACAAGTGCTTTGTCTGCAAAGCTTTTTGCCCTCAATATTTATACTTTTTAAAAAATATTTATACTTTTTTTAAAAAAAATACTCTGAATTTGCTTTTATTACATTTGGAAACATAAATTAACTAAAGGAATCTCTGCACTTTAACATGAACATTTACTATTTCTTTTTAGCAGAATTGTTCAGATAGAATTCCTGGATGATAAGAATTTGTTTCTCTTAGCACTGCTGTAAGAATACTTACTTGAAATGTTATTTCTCCTCTGAGGGGGGCAGGAGATTACATTTTAAGCAAGATTGACAGGCTAACTGGGAAACAGGTATGGTTTTGATGCTGCTGGTGTGTCTAGCAATATGAGTGGGAGAAAATTAAAACCTCTTCTCAACCTTGTGGGCATAGCTGCAATTGGGCAATAAGTGGTTTGGCAAAAAAAAAAAAAAAAGAAGGGGAGGGAGTTTGTAATAGTTTAAAGTGAGACCTTTCTTTTAAACAATAATGCTTCTTCTGAGTTCCTCAATAGCTGAAATATTTTTTTCAAAGTTGCTCTGCAAGTTCAAACAGATAATAGGTGCTCTCTTATGGGAACAGACTATTGCAAAAGGTCAGATGGTGATTGAGAGAGTGTTAGTTATGTTCCTCCTTCTTGCGGTTATACTTGCAAGGAAAAGGAAAGTGATAATATAAATGATAATCCTGCAGAATAATTCAGTGTCTCCAATCTCTTGATGTTGTAGGTATTGTTTATGAAAAATATACCTCACTTATTGTGTCTGGGCTTAGAAACTGGGCCTGACTGACCTAGTTAATACTTGGAGGTGGGACCATGCAGGAATCCCAGGGCTGTAGGCTAGACCGGAGAATCAAAGAAACACCTCAGAAGAAGGCAATAGCAAGCCACTTTCGCATTATCTTCAGGAAAAGTATATGCCTCTTATTATCTCATTGTTATCTTACTCTCTTATTGAGGAAACATTGCACTTAGGCAAGATGACATGCAGCCGCTCAGATATTAGTGTTTTTCTTACCTTGGAAAGAACTACTATTATGGTACCCAAGTCATGTGTCTGTTATTAGTGTACAGTCCTAGACCAAAGAAAATTATCTAATTCAGTCTTCCTAATTTGGGCAATCTCCTGAAATGTAGACTTTAATTCCTACAATATGGTGTAGTAATTAAGGTGTTGGACCAGGAGTGGGAAAATTCATGCTCTGGTGTGCTAATTGCCACAGAAGTTTACTTGTCTAGTTGTCTCTCTTACATTGTAGGGAAAAACAGAAGGAGGGAATGTTATGCATGTTACTTTAAGAGAATAAGAATCATCATTAGATTGGCCATTGCTGAGAATTCTGGGGAATAAAACTTTATATATGTGGAGGATACTGAGGCTGGGAAAGACTGACACAGTTGAGGGAAGCTAGGGAAAGAAAATATTAATTTCAGTTGGTGAACTTACAGAAAAATAGATTCTCACTAGATCAGCTACTCTAGATGATCAGAAATGGTTTCAGTAAGAAAGATAAATGTCCCAAGAGCATGTACTGTATATGGCTCAGAATTTAAGTAATAGAAAAATTATATTTGGTTAGTTAATGAAAAGGTGGAAGGGCAGAGATGGTGAATGCAAAATCATTCTAAACACAGACACCTTCCTAATTCACATGACTACATTTATTAAGTGGTTACATGCAGTTTAGTTTTGGTCTTGTCTGTCTGGTGCTGCTGAGAACAATCTTTCAAATCTCACTGGACTATACCTCATTTCCTTTTTATGCTCATTTAAATTAGGGAGGTACAGTATCTGTCTTAGCATCTTCTGCAAATTTTTGCTTGTTTTTTTCCTTGTGGTTTTCTAAAGGTTTAATTCATCTTCATCAAAGTCTTCTTTCTTACTCTTGTAATATTTTGAACTTGAGCAATTTTTAATAAATTTACAGCAATGGTGGTTAGACGTTCATGGCAGAATAAGCTAACAAAGGAAGTTAGTTCCTATTTGGTCTGAGTCTTTTCCAATAAGGTAGTTTGTGGTCCACTAGGTGATTATAAAGAGCACACTGAAGGGTTGTAGTCTGAGGTTAATACACCTGTAACTAGGGAACACTTGCTAAGCTTGAATGAGCTTTAGCCCAGAGGACAGATGAACTATATCCTAACATATAGAAGGCACTGACTGACGGTCTGGCCAAAGTGTTGTCCATTATCTTTCAAAAACCTTGGACAACAGTTAAAGAGCCAAATGACTGAAGGAGGGCAAGCATTGTTTCTTCTCCAGGAGAATATGGGGAATTACAGATAAGAGCTTGGCATCTACCTGGGAAAATTCTAGAGCAGGGTATCATGCAGTGATATAAACACTTTGGAAACAATGCAGGGATTATCAGAAGTCAGCATCGAATGGGAATCACTGGCTTTGTGAAAAAGTTCATGAAATTTCAGTTATAATTAATTATAGTATAACATTGGAGTATAAAAGGCAAACACAGGCTGTATTAAGGGGAATAAGGTTCCTGAATCACAGGATTATTATTTCCTGTATTCTACTAAGCTGCTCTTAAGATTTTAATAGTGTTCTGGATACCATGCTTAAGAAGAGTTGAGAAAAAGAACAAGGTCACAGAAGGGAAGTCAGGAAAGTCATTGGAATGAATGGAAAATACTTGGAAGAACTGTGTCAATTCAGCCTTGAAAAGGCAATACCGAGGAAGGATATGGTAGTATATCAAACATGAAATAGAATTATGGTAGCCTCAGGTTTTTTGTTTTCTGGCTATAGTTTTAAGTTAGAGACCCATCTGTCCTCTGTTACAGCTATTGAAGCTAGTGTAGCATGAGTAAAAATGCCATTATTTTCATGGGTCTAGTTCTCATGCCCCCAGAAGGGTAGAGGACACCATTAAAAAAACTGCCATTATTTTCATTTTCCCCCAGAAGACTAACACCCATCATCTTGTATCATTCTTGGGATTTTCAGAGGAAAAAAAGGCAATGCGAAGTGACACTCAAAGACTCTTGTTTTGCCTTTCCTCCCCAATGGCAGTTTCTTTGTAGCCAAAATCTGATAGGCAATTTCAGCTCTGTTTTTCAGCACTACTTTTACCCTCATTCTCCCACACAAACATACACTTACCCTCATTGCTGCTCCAATTAACCTTCCCAGAATCTTTGAGAAAGTTGTTTTCTAGAGCTAGTGATGGTGGTGGTTGTGGCAGTGAAAAAGACACAATGGGTGAGTGTGGGGGGGGGAGGGAGGGGAAGGAGCATTTCCTGAGAGGAATATTTTTCCAATCCTCAGTATTCTGGCATGTCTTTTAATAGAGTTTGGAACATTGGTTTCTTCAATTTTGGAAAAGTTTAATTTTAGATCCAGTGTTGAGCCTGGCTGAAAACATCCTCATTACATTACTACATATAGGTGATATATGTAGTATATCAGGAAGGCTATGCTGAGAAAATGGCATAACTCCACATTATGCAGCAGGTTTTCTCCATCATGGAACCTTCTCTTGGACTTCAGCATTTAGCAGGATGTACCAACACCTTTCATGGATGGCAGTTAAGCTCGACAATATTTGTCTTAGCAATAGCAGTAACATTAAGAAGACAGGTATCTTTATTTGTGTCTATGACCAGCAGCCTGACCTCAAAACTATTCTCCCTCACTGCCACTACTCCTTCTACAACTGACTTTCAGCGACATTTAATATCCATGTTAAAGAACTGAGAGAAAGTTAAAAGAAGTATTTTCTATTAATGAAATACAGCGCACAATGGATCTTTCATTCTGTGGTAACATTTTAATTCAAGGGAACAAGATGCTACATGTTGCAAGGTTAACAAAGCATTGCTGTTAGATTCTTCATAATTACAAAGGTCATATGTATTTGAAAAGTCCATAATTACCTCTGTTAAGTGATGCTGAACTGTTTATATCACCAGTGATGAAGGAGGATTCTGATTGCTTTCGAACTGTGTCATTCCACATCCTGCGAATTCGGCTCTGCAGAAGCACAAGAAGAAGGGGCAGAAGATGAACATCAAGCAGAGGATCCATAGGAAATAATGACCTGCTTCTTCCTGTTTCTGTGGAGATGGCTTCTGGCAGTGCAGGAAGTAAGCAAGGTGTTTTGATTTTCTCTCTGGGCAAAGAACTCCCTGCTTTTCCTAGAGCAAGGGTGGACAATATGCAGCTTACATGTATGACCTCCAGAGACACCCAGAGTGGGTCAAGTTGAAAGTCTTGGACCTTTGGTCTGACTTGGGGAAACCAAGTGCATTAAGCCTTTCAGAAGCTCATGCACTTATAAGACCACTTAACACCTTCTGCCCTGGAACAAGGTGGGGAGGAGTCACTTGTTCCTATTCAAGAATGTTATGTTAAAGTTCAAGACAATTTACACTTCTTAGAATTCATCAAAAATGCAAAAAAAAAAAAGGTTTATCATTTTCAGCTCCCCTCACTCTAATAATAACACAACTTCATGAACCCTTCTCTCTTTTTGTACCTTAAACAAGGTAAAAAGTAATAAAATGGATTTCAAGCCAGAAAGCTGTCCAAAGCTATGCTGAAATGTGAACAAATCCATCTAATCCACTATTTTTTTTTCCAAATTGGAAACTTGCAAGCAGTACAAGTGCCAGTGCTGTAGAGTAGTTAAGATGTTGCCTTCAGTTTACCCTTAGCCACAGAACATTCCTGGCTGAGTTAATGTTGGTCCATCTCTCTTAGTCCAATCGCACAAGTCATTGTTGTGGGAAAAGATAAGAGGAGGAGAAATGCTATTTATGGTGCCTTGAGCTCCTGAATAAAAAATCAATTAAGTAAATAAAAACAAAAGAGTTTCCTACTTAGTTAATGTCATGAAAACATAATACTCATTCTACCTCTCCAATGTTCAGACTGTTACTAGGGAAGTAGGTAATATTTTTGTATGCAAGTATCTGAGAGAGGTGCTTGTAAATGTTTCATAAATTGATATATAAATTGAAATGTATGTTCAAATTCCCAAGTCTAGAAATGTATTGAGGAGGAGAAATATGGCATACCTGATGCTCTATGTCTAAAATATTCTGAGAGAAAATTAATGCAGTAATTTAGATTATATTTTTCACTAGCTACATTAATAATTCACTTGCAATAAGTTTCAGCATTTACCATATACCTTTTTGGCATTAAATTCTGTTAATGAAATATAATGCATATATACATGTAAACAATTTCAGTAAAATAAAATAATAATTCTCAAGCTGAACTCAAAGGACAACTTAATTTTGGCACTTTTTATGCCACCCTTCAAACAAAGGTAAGATGTATACCTGGTGAGAAACCTGAATTTAATTTAAATTTAAATTCCAGCTTTTCTCTACAGTAATTATATTTTTTATGTTCTAGTCTTTAAAAAAAATAAAGGGAAAAAAACTCCACAAAGCAATCACAAGTAGCTGAAGACAAGCACCCCCATATAAAAGTGGTTCAACTACCATCTTGCCCCAAAGTCTGGAAGAGCAGCCAGGTTTTCAGGGTGGGGTCATCTGGATCTCAATGTGTGTGTGTGTGTGTGTGTGTCTGTCTGTCTGTCTGTCTGTCTGTCTGTCTGTGTCTGTGAGAGAGAGAGAGAGAGAGAGAGAGAGAGAGAGAGAGAGATTCCAGAAGACAGGTGTCATCACAACAAAAACATGTTTCCAAGGTCCCACATGATTACACAGCTTAATCAACAGGACCCAAAACATGTCCACACTGCCAGATCTCATTGGGCAGACAGCAACAACTGGAGGCAGGCTGTCCTTCAAATAATCTGGTCCTATGCCAGGAAGGGCTTTAGAGGTGATAACTGACAGCTTGAATTGCACCGCCAATTGATAATCAGTTCATTTTGTGGAGCATTAGGTAGGATAGTTTTCCCCCCATGCCATCATTTTGCTAAACAACTAATTCCCACAACACTGTCAAACCCTAACCCTAAAACCCATCTGAAATGAGTGCAATCACATTCAATCTAGACTGGCCAGATAATAAGAGCCAATACTGGTAAGCTCTATCTGTCAATATATCAGCATCCACATTTATCAAGGAGTGAGAATTAGAACTGGATAAACTTATAGGAGAACCATTACAAAAATAAGAGACATTTACTGACAGATGCATTATTATCATCCTGCAATAAAATAAAAGAAATTAAGATTTTTTTTGAACCAATCAATTGGAAATCCATCAGATTAGGAGCCTTTTCCATTTTAGTAGATTTAATATTGAAATTTCTCTATGCAAATTCCATTTCTATGGAAATTTCTCTATTGTTTTAATTTTGATGACACCAAAATGATGAAAATTGCAATATGGTGTCATAGCGCATGTTCAGCATCTTCAGACTTCTGCACAGCATATGTAAGTATGTAAGAGGAAAGTTTAGCATGTTTCCTTATGTCCTTTCCTGTTCACTCCCCTGCAGATACCAATAGCTCTTTGTTGGCTCACTGCTTTTTAAAAAAGCCCTAAAACACATTTTTTAAAACAGGCTTTTAACTGAATATTTTTTATTTTGGTTTTAATTAACTGGCTTTCATTCTGAGATGTTGGATAGTAGCAAAACAAGTTTAAAAAATATTGTTCATGCACAAGAGTAAAATGAGATCAGCATGACTGCTAAAAATTATTATACATTATACAATTTAAAATATCAATGTCAGAGGTGATTATTTATTTATTTATAAAAAATTTTATAGTTATAATCTCTACATATAGAGATTTTTTTGTCTTTTTCTATTAGGAAACGATGTTAATATAATTTCAGTAATTCAGGAGTGTGGAAATAGAGGGTTATTACAGGGTAAAAAATTGATTCACGTTATCTGCCATATGTCTGTCTGTCTGTCTGTCTATCTATCATTATCTATCTCTCTCTATATATCTCAACTCAATCTACCTAACAGGGATGTTGAAGGAAAAGATGTGGGATATCACATACGTTGCCTTGAGCTTCTGGAGAAAAGGGTGTCAGTTACATAAATAGGTCTATAATAAACCTGCATGCCGTAACTAACTGTTGCAAACTATTTCATTAATCTGTGCAAGAAAGAAATGTCAATTATTTCCTAGAGGTAAAATGTTGCTATTGTAATCCAACACAAAGCTTATTTTCCCACTGCAGAAATTTCAAACCAAATTAAGAATATCGTTATTGACTGCTTCAGAAACTTGAAAAGTTGTGAAACAGTTCTGATGTTATGCTTAAAAAAATGCATGCAGTAAATAAAATATTAGAGGTTTAAGGCCTGGGCCTTAAAAATTCTCAGTACTTCTCTGCTACTTCCTTAGTGTGAGCTAGAAAAATCATGTTAAGATTCTGTGGATATAATTTACTTGGACTTCAGTAAGGCATTTGATAAAGTACATCACAACCTACTACTTGACAAGATAGAAAAATGTGGGGTAGACAGCATCACCACCAGATGGATCCGTAGCTGGCTGACCGGCCGTACTCAGCGAGTGGTCCTCAATGGAACCACATCTACATGGAGGGAAGTGTGTAGTGGGGTGCCCC